AAGTGCCCTGAAGCTTTACTCTTTTTTTCTAAATACAATCTCTCCCTAGTGTAGGCTTAGAATACCATCAGTGTACAGACAACCCTGAAATTTGGGTCTCCAACCCAGACATTTCCCCAAAGCTCCAAGCTTCTCTACTCAATTGCTTAATAAACACCTCACTAGAATGCTGATCTCAAAACTAATGTATCTGAATCATACCTTTTTTTTTCTTACCCAAACCCATTTATTTCCCCCACCTCACTTTCTCAACTTAGGGAATAACACCGAGTTATTCAATCAGACACCTAAGAGTCACTTTGAATCTTTCCTTTCCTTTCCTTTCCTTTAGTAAGTCATGATTTTTCCATCTCTAAAAATACATCCCAAAGCCATCATCTCTCTACGTATCAATGACCATCAGCCTATTCCAAATCAATACCATGTGACACAAATTACTGTACTAGCCTTTCCCCCTCTGGTCTACACTATTACTTTTTTACCAATCATTCTCAGTGGCCATAGTGGATTTTTTAAAAAACTCTGTATCAGATCATCTCACTTTCCTGCTTAACATTGCCAGTGGCACCTATTTGTACTTCAGATCCAAACTGTACTTCATAATTCTACCAGAATTCATATGTCTAATTATGTCTCCAACCTCATCTTCTACCTCCACTTCTCCTTACCCACCATCCTCTAGCTATATTAGACTTCTTTCTAAACCTCAAACATGCAAACCATTTAGCTCAGAGCAGCCTTTGAACTATTTCCTGTGTCAGCAAGGTTCTGATATCTTTGCACAATGTATTCTTCTTAATATTTATATCTCAGCACAAATTTAATTTTCCAAGGGAAGCCTTTCTTGATCTATTTATTATATTGCTCTTTTATTTTCTCCAAACCACATATTGCTATTCAACTAGAAACTCAATGATCACAATTGTCAATTATGGTACGGACTTAAAAAATTAAAATTTAGTGATTTTTTTAACAAGAACAGAATTATGCTTCTCAAAATCAATTCATAAAAGCAATGTCTTGGTAAAAGATATGAATTAAATGGAAAATATTTTTTATTATATTTCTTTCTTTTATTTTTTTTATTGGAGTTCAATTTGCCAACATATAGCATATCACCCAGTGCTCATCCCATCAAGTGCCCCCCCTCAGTGCCTGTCATCCAGTCACCCCAAACCCCCGCCCACCTCCCTTTCCACTACCCCTTGTTCATTTCCCAGAGTTGAGAGTCTCTCATGTTCTGTCACCCTCACTGATATTTCCCACTCATCCTCTCTCCTTTCCCCTTTATTCCCTCTCACTATTTCTTATATTCCCCAAATGACTGAGACCATATGTTTGTCCTTCTCTGATTGAATTATTTCACTCAGCATAATACCCTCCAGTTCCATCCACATCGAAGCAAATAGTGGGTATTTGTTGTTTCTAATGGCTGAGTAATATTCCATTGTATACATAGACCACATCTTCTTTATCCTGAATGGAAAATATATCACAGATCAGATGTTCACAAAATACAGCCTCACTAAATCCTTATGTTTGTTGGCTTACAAAGTATCGAAAGTGCATCAAACACAGAAGATGTACCTATTTTTCCCCTAATTCTGTTTCCCAACATGATATGAATTTAGTGCTTTTGAAATTAAAATGATTAAGTTATTATAATAAGACTCTGTTAATAATGCTAGCAGTCACACAAATCTGACCTTTAGCTTTTCCAGTCTCTTGGACAGAGACTGACAATTGTGCTGAATTGTGGAATTGTTTTGTGATGTGTCTTCAACTAAGCTGAATCTACTAAATACATTCCAACTTTAATCTGAGTGAAATATTGAACCAGTATTTCCAAAGACAGAAAAAATAATTTTGAAAGCTCTATACGACCTACCACATGTGGCAGGCAAGGAAATTTGTACCTCCAACAAACTTATTAACATTTTGAAAGTTTATTAAAAGACTTCCTTATAACACTTCTCACCTGAATTATTGCATGTCCTCTGAATGATTTCTTTAGCCTCTAGCCTTGCTTCACTTCAATCCATCCTCTATACTTCTCAAATGTGAACAAACACTGATTGTTTTATTCTGCTACTTAAAATTTTTCAGGGCTATGTACCATAAAGTATCAACTGTTTAACAAAGCCCTCTATGATCAGGCCTCTACTTAACTAGCTAGCTTTACCTATGCCACTTCCCTCTGTTTTAGTTTTACTTATAATTTTTGAATGAGCTATGTTTTGTCCAAGCTGTATACCTTTGTGTATACTGTTCCTCTTGCCTTTATGTCCTTACTCAGCCCTTTTCTTTTCTGTGATGAAAGAGAAGCATCTCCATGAAGCCTTCCTTGATTAAGGCAGAATCAGTCACTTTCCCCCAGGCCACTACTGACCTGAGCCCATGGAACCTGACCGCCTGGAATCACAACATTCCCACTAATTATGTGATCATTGCCAAAATACTTCATCTTTCTCTACTACAGTTTCCTCATTTAGAAAATGATAAAAATAATAGTCCATACTGCATACACATGTAAAGTACTTAGAACAGGACCTGTAATTTAGTAAGCACTAAATAAAAGTCATGAATTATTATACTGTATAATAATGACTAGTTTAAAGCTGTAAGTCCTCCACTAGATTGTGAACTCCTTAATAGCAAGGATTCTGTCTTTTTTATCTTTTATTCTCTAACAGCATTATAGACTTTAGCAACTATCTGCTGCCTGGAAATGAAAAATACCTGATCATGGAAGCAAAGCTTAAACAACCTTCTCATCTCATTAATAAAGCATAGTCATTCACTCTTTATATATAAAATGATAATCATTTAATGATAGTTGACTGACAGATCCAAAAGTGATAGAAGTACAATGTATGACACAACAGGCATGCAAAGCTGGTCCAACATTCCAAAATTAATTAATGTTATTCACCAGATCAACAGGCTAAAGAGGAAAAAATATATATATATGATCAATAGATCTAGAGAAAGCATCGGACAAAATCCAACACCCATTCAGTATGAAATCTATTAGCAAACTAATAATAAAAAGAAACTTCCTCAATTGTAAATATCCACGGAAAAAACCAACAGCTAACACCATATTTAATTGTGAGACCCTAAGAGCTCTCCCAATGAGACCAGGAATAAGAAGGAAGTCCCTCCTCACCACTCCCATGCAACATCATATTGGAAGTCTTACCTAATAGAGTAAGATAGGGAAAGGAAATAAAAGGTACAGATTGGGAAGGAAGAAATAAAAACAAATTCTACTCCTACAAATTCTACAGAATTTTACTCCTAAGTATTTACCTAGCTGCTGTCAGGAGGCCAGAGTCTCTTACCACACAAAACTCTCCACAGGGTTCCTTGTTTCTTCACAAAATAGCAGTTGGCTTCCTCCAGTGAGTGATCAAAACCAGAACAAGGCAGTCACCCTGTCTTTTATCAATCTAGTCTCAGAAGTAACATACTATCACTTCTGCCAAAAGTTCCAGATACCAATCCTGACAGTGCAAGAGGTCAACAGAAGGGTACAAATACCAGGAGACAAGGAATCACTGGGACCATTTTGGAAGCTGGCTACCACAATCTAAATGTCCATTAACTGGTGAATAGAGAAACTATGGTATATCCATACAGTGGAATAGTAATCAGCAATAAAAAAGAACTACTGAAAAAAAAAAAAAGAACTACTGACATATGTAACAACATGAAAAAAAAAAAATCACAAATACTAAGAGAAAAAGCCGGACCCAAAAAGCTATGTACAGTATGATGTATTATACTCTGGGAAAGGCATAACAAAGGAATACAAAACAGATCAAAGGTTGTCAGGAGGGCACCTGGGTGGCTCAGTCAGTTAAGTGTCTGCCTTTGGCTTAGGTCATGATTGTAGGGTCTTGGAATGGAGTCCCATGTTGGGCTCCCTGCTCAGTGGGGAGTCTGCTTCTCCCTCTGCTCCTTCCCCTGCTCACGTGCTCTCTGTCTCTCTCTAATAAATACATAAAATCTTAAAAAAAAAAAAAAAAAAAAAGGTTGTTAGGAGATGAGAAGGAGGCAGAAGACTGACTACAAAGAGGCATGAAGAAATTTCTTTGGATAAAGGAAATATTCTATATTTGATTGTAATGGTGCTTATATGATCATATGCATTTGTTAAAATTCATAAAACTACATACCTAAAAAGGATAAGTTTTATTGCAAATAAATTATATCTCAAAAATCACTTATAAAAGGAGAGAAATGAATCTTAAGGGGAAACAAGAAACTTGGTTGGGAATACTGCTACAGCAGTCTTAATGTGTAAATAACAAGATTCCAAAGAAAAGTGACTATTAAACCAGTATAACATGATAATAAAAGTTCCTCAAGCTAAAAAAACTTTCTCTGAGCTTAAGTCTACAGATTGAAAGTGCCCATCAAATTATAAATTAGACAGATGAGAAAAGATACACATGTATCGTGGCATATCCTGGCAAAAGTCTTGAACTTTAAGAATAGAAAAAGTTTAAATGCTTTCCAGAGAGAAAGAACAAGTCACTTAGAAAAAAAGGAGAGACAAGCATAGGCCTTCTTATTTGTAACAAAAAAGGAAATGATGAAATAGCATCCATAAATTTTGAGAAAAGGACTGCCACTCAAAAATTCTATCCCAAACAAGAGTAAAATGAAGTTATCTAGGAATACGCAATCATTCAAAAGAATGAACCATCCATTTATCCCATCTAGAGAAACAGCCAATAAAAAAGTGCTCACCAAATAACTAACTCATTTCACATATAGAGGAGGATAAAGAAGAGACCTTATAAAATATGCAGTTAAATTGAAATGCATATTAGTAAAGCAATTGGGAAGAAACATATAACAAGTGAAAACTCAAATTTATTTTAGAATGAAAATGAAGCATCTAAACAAAAAAGAAAATTAAAGTCAGTCCAGTGTACAAGGTAACTATAAGTAGTTATTATAAACGATGTTTTTGTTTTGTTTGGATTTACCTGGTTTGCAAGATGAGAGTGACCAAACAGCTTGTGACCCAATTTCCCGTACTGTTCCAGTCCTTTCCAACTGCTTAGGGTCAGCACCAGGAGGTGTCTTATTTGGTGTGGTCATTTTTAAAATATACTATGTAGAAAACAAGAATATCCACATTATACTGGGATCTGTGCATCTTCTACAAAAGGTAAAAAATTAAATTTTAATAGTAAAAGGGTAGCACTTCTATACCCTTAATATTAATCATCTATTTCTCAAATGCAGGTAACATAACTCAATCACTGTAATAAAAAAAAAAAAATCTCGGGAATTCAGGGTTTTTTTCTAAAATATATTAAGACTTAACAAGACATGCAAAACAGTAGAATTTAGTAGCCAAAAGGGCATGGAATCAGGGTTTTAACTTCAGTCTCTCCTCTAACTAGCCTAAACTTTGGGCATGTCTGGGCTTTATTTCCTTACCTCTAATAGAGGTTGACTTGATCTAAAATTCTATAATGCTACACAATTTTATACCTGAGAAAAAATTCTTTTTTAAAAAAGATTTTATTTTTAAGTAATCTCTACACCCAACGTGGGGCTCAAACTCACAACCCTGAGATCAAGAGCTGCACGTTCCACCAACTGAGCCAGCCAGGCTCCACTCTGAGTAAAAATTCTAAATTCAAATGAATCTTTTTCTTTAGAAAAGTTAAATTGAAATATCCTTATTCCAAGAATATGTAAATGTTACTTTCCATTTTTTTATTTTGAACGTAAATTTACTTTGATAATTTATTTTTTATTAAAGTATAATTAACATACAGTATTATATTAGTTTCAGGTATACAATATAATGATTCAACAATTCTACACATTTCTCACTGCTCATCACAGTTAAGTCTTTTTTTAAGATTTTTGTTTTTTTAAGTAATGTCTACAGTCAACATGGGACTCAAACCCACAACCCCAAGATCAAGAATCCCATGCTCCATTGACTGAGCCAGCCTGGTGCCCCACAATAATTCTACTCTTAAACTCCTTTATCTGTTTCACCCACTTCCCCTCTAGTAACCACTAGTTTGTTCTCTATATTTAAGAGTCCGTTTTGTTTCTTAAATTCCATGTATGAGTAGGAAATCATATGGTATTTGTCTTTCTCTACCAGACTTATTTCATTTAGCCTTATACCCTCTAGGTCCATCCATGTTGTTGCAAATGGCAAGACCTCATTCTTTTTTATGGCTAATATTTCATCGTGTTTGGTGTGCATGTTGTATCTATCTGTGTGTATATACCATATCTTCCTTATCTATTCATATATTGATGGACATTTGTGTTGCTTCCATATCTCGGCAATGGTAAATAATATTGCAGTGAATATAGGAGTGCGTGTATCTTTTTTAGTGTTTTTGTTTTCTTTGGATAAATTACCCAGTAGTGGAGTAACTGGATTATATGGTAATACTATTTTTAATTTTTTTAAAGTGCCTCCTTACTGTTTTCCACAGTGGTTGCACCAATTTGCATTCTCCCCAACAGTGCACAAGGGCTCCTTTTCCTCCAACACCATTGGTGACATTTATTTCTTGTCTTTGATTCTAGCCATTCTGACAGGTATAACGCGATTATCTCACAACAGAAACATGAAAAAAAAATACTCAACATCACTAATTGTCGGGAGAAATGAAAACAAAACCACAATGATATTTTGGTCTGGTCTATATTTTAAACAATCCATTAAGTGGTACAGAGAAAAATCACTTCTCCCCACAAGTTGTCAAAAGTCCCATTTATATGACATAGAAGGTGTCGGGAAAATGGTTTCAAAGCATAGAAGTGAATAAATCCCAAAATTTACTTCATCTTTCACATCTTTGGTTAATTTTGGTAAATCTATGCAGACATGAAAAAAACCCTCCAATTGGAAACAATATATAAAACAGCTTAGGTGCTGCAAAGTTACAGATACTGCACATGGTTATATACACTATTATACACCATTGTAAACCTGGCCCAGGAGTTCAGTATACCATCTCCTTGACACCTTTTAGATCTCAGATGTTTCCTAATCTCCACACAGCACTCGATATTCATTAAATAATAGCAGAGCCACTAAACTGTAAAATTCAGAAAGGCCTGAGGCTTAAATGCTCAATTAGCAATTTACTGAATGAACAAATCAATGAATGAATAGGTACAGTCGTAAGCAAAAATATTTGCCTTCTGCTAGCTAAATAAAGGTCTAGGATGAGAGAAGTAAACCTGTGACTACCATTACAAGCCGAATATCCTGTCGTCAAACGTTCCAAAACTCAAAAAAGGGGTTGAGGGGGAGCCCATGTCTACACTGGAGCACAATTCAACTGCTCGACTTGGTACTGGACGCCACCAAGTGGCTAAAACACGAGGCTCGGAAAAGCCTGGGTTCCTGGCCACCCTCTTAAGAATGCGCAGCGGCCAAGGAGCGATCACCACCAACAGCAGTATCTGGACCAGACTCTGTTGGTCCTAATACCTCTTCTAGAAATGTTAGAAATGGCAATGGCTCTCCGGGGCCCCTAGACCGGGGGTGGAAAAGGGGATTGAGGATGGAGATGAGAACGCATCCGCTTACGCTAGAACCAGTCCTCAACATCAAGGGTGAAAAGCCCACGAACTTACAGCTTACAGACGCGGCTCGCCGCAACCCAGCTTTTTAGGATACCCGGCAGCTCCGTGCCACTCCCACTCAGCACTGCCCGGCTTTCCCGGAGACGTTAACTCGGAGTCGCAGCACAATGACGTCAGTTATCGCCGTGTCTCCCGACCAACTCCAGGGCTCCGCCTGTCGCTCTCTGTCGCGCGCGCGCACTACGTCCCTAAGGCGTGCGCGAGGCGGCGGCTGAGCACCGCCATTTTGGCCGGTGGCCGTAGGAGCACGCCGTGTGGGTAAGAAGTGAACGGAAGAACTGATTTGGCCTCTGAGCTCCCCTTCGCGAGGGGATCGTTTTCTCCAGGTACGTGAACAGCCCGGGAGGGTTTGGCCGCTGGCCGAGGTGGCACGCGATTTAAAGGCCGTAGGGACGTTCTCGGAGAGTCCTTAGTGAGGCCTCCGCAGTCGGCGGCGGAGGTCGCAGCGGCGCGTGGCAGCCGGCTCGGGAGGCACAGCTGGAATCGCCGGAGCGCGGGCGCCGCCGAGGGCTCGGAGGCGCGTGGCTCCTCTCCTCCGGCGGACCTGGACCTCCGCCTCTTGCCTGCCACCCGCCAGGGGCTGCCGGCATGGACTTAGATGCCATCTCAGAGATCCAGTCTCCGTCGTCTCCGCTCCCCCTTCACGGCGCTCTCGCCCGAGAGCTGAATCTTAACAGAGAAGGAAGGCAACTTGAGAACTTAAAGCATCTCTTCTCCTCCCGTCCTTACCCTGACACAGTAAAATGGACATAGTGTCACACGTGCGTATTTGATTATAGGAAGTCGTGGCCTTTCCTTCCACGGCTTCTGCTGTGATTATGGAATGAGTCACGGCATTTTTGCCGCCATTAAGTCGAATCCTTATCCCGTCTTTACAGAGACGATGGGCAGTTGTCGGTCTGCTTTTCTTATAGAGCGGCGGGTATTCGGTTATCCCGATCTCCCAGTTCAACGCCTGTAAGCTTTTATAGAACCTAGCACTTGCTTCTTAGTGACTTGTTTTCGCTACCTTTATATAAAGTGCATGAAATCAGGTGTGCGGCGGTTCATACCTTGTAGACTCGATGGCCAAAGCTGATTACCGCATCCCATAGACTACATAAGTCTGTTTTCTCTGTGTTCGTGGTAAAGTCCCTAAGAGAGAAATACTTGTCAAAACAACGGGGAGGGTTGTGAAAGGGGTTGTGTTTTGTTTTGTTTTGTTTGTGTTTTGTTTTGTTTACTCCTCCGCAGGGACTGCTAGCTAGACATTTATCACGGTGGTATTTCGTGTTGCATTTTTCAGAACATTTGTCTCGTATACTGAGAATTGAGAATATTCATACTGTATCAGCTACTTGACAGTAATGCTTTGTCAGTATTAACCAAGGAATCTTTATTTGTACCAAAAGGGTATTTTTTTCGTGTTAAGAATCTTGTTATGCCCGTTAAAAACATTTTCTTAGGAAGAACATTTAATACAATTTCTGAGGGGAAAAAAAGAAAGTGGTATTAATTGGTGTCCCTTCTAAATGTCTTCAGTTTAAGACTCTGAAATGACGAGTTCTGCACCACTCCCCATTTACATGTTTTATAAGACTAATAACCTACAGTAACCATAGGTTGGAATGTTTTATGTGATATCAAGCATCATTTGTTCACAGCAGTCTTTTAAGTGCTTTCACATGGTGATATGATTTTGGTCTCAGACTGCAAATACTTTCTTTCCATAATGCCTCTCACTTCCTTTTTTTTCCTCCCAGCTGGAAGAATGACAGTGAGGGTCATTGTTTGAATACCTGTTTCGAACAGTTTGTTTTCAGATTTGAAATACCTTCAAATTCCTCTTTGTTTCTAAGACTCTCTTATTAAACTCCACTCCCCCCACCACCTCCACAACTTCACTGTGCTCTGTCATTGAAAAAGAAAGTAGGGATCCCTTCTCCTCAGTCCTATTTTTTTTTTTTTTAAGATTTTATTTAATTATTCACATGAGGCAGAGACACAGGCAGAGAGAAAAGCAGGCTCCCTGCAGGGCCATGTGGACTCCATCCTGGGACTCCAGGATTACATCCTGGGCCGAAGGGAAACGCTCAACCACTGAGCCATCCACGCGTCCCACCTCCTCCCCAATTCTTAAAAATGTGAAAATAATATATAAATTTAGTCAATAGTGTTCACATAAGTAACAGTTCCACAAAGAATCTATATTCTTTATTCTTAAATGCATTTTAATTTATTACTATTTCATATAAATCAGCTTATTATTTCTGGTATGGTTTTATTCTGTAAGTCATCTCTTTCAGTCACTTGGTTTTTGAAATGGTTTGAAATATCAGATAAAACACTTTAGTAGTTTGGCAGAAATCTTAGCAATTTTGTGTTAAAAGATTTGCCCTAAAAAGGACTTCGTGACATTCATTCACCACGTAATTTGTATGGTGTCCAGCTTTATTTTAAAAGCTAATTAACTCTTCAGTTTTCAGGGAGTTGTCACTTAAAACGAAAGCTTTTTTGTAGCAATTCAGAAGTCATTTAATTTCTTGCTCATCTAGTCTATGAAAACTGGACCAATTTTTAAAGGTTTTAAGGGGGTAATGTGGATCTATCAGTAACCATAGTTCTGTTAATTACGTAAATAACTTAGTCTGCTTTTGGGTGATTTTTTTTTCAGTATATACTTTAGTGGATAGCTGTCACTGAAGTATTGATAATTAAAATATTTCTGGTATCATAACATTTAAGAAAATTATCACATCTAAATTCATTTTCTCATTTATTCAACAAATATTTGAGCTTTTATGATGTGCTGGGCACAAGTGTAACCACTGGGCTGAATAGACAAATCTTTGCCCTCATTATGGAGTATCTTTTACTTGGGGTGGGGAAAATTCTGTGTGTAGAGAAAAAGTATATAATAAATGCATGTATATACACACAATAAATATTACATAAACCATTTGTGCACATACATATGAAATATAGACTGCAATATAGTAGAAAGAGCTAAAGAGAAATATCAGGGAAGAAAAAAGCAGTTTGGGTATATTTTTTGGTAGTATAGCTAGAGAAGGCTTCCTGAGAAATAGACATTGAAGACTTGAAGTAGTGACCCTTGTAACTCACTAGGGTGAATAGCATTACAGGCAGAGGGAATAGAAAATGCCAATGCCCTGAAGCAAGAACATGCTAAGCAAGAACATATGCTAAGAACAAGGAGCCAGTGTGGCTAGAGCAGAATGAACTAGAGCTAAAGTAGTTAGAGATGAGATCAGAAACTAATAGAGGTTGATCAATACCTCATTAGTTATTTTAAGAACTTTGGCTTTTACTTAGAGTGAGTAGGGAAGCTATTGTAGGACTTTGAGTAGAGAGTGACATGATCTGGCTTACACTTAAAAAGGATCATCCCGGCTTTTGTAGTAAGAAGGAACTGTCAAAAGTCAGATTAGGAAAAGTTAAGAGTAAAATAAAGAGACATGATAGGGAGCTATTAGAGTAACACAGATAAAGAATAATAGTGGCTTAAATCAGAATGAGAAGTCAGATTCATGAAGATAAATTGGACAGAATTTGCTGTTGTGGCTTGTAAAAGATAATTTCAAGGGTTTTAGCTTGAGTAAGTGAAAGACTAGAATTGTCATTTAACAGAATTGGCAATGGGCAGTCTGGGTGGCTCAGCGGTTTGGTGCCGCCTTCGGCCCAGGGCCTGATCCTGGAGACCTGGGATTGAGTCCCACATCAGGCTCCCTGCATGGAGCCTGCTTCTCCATCTGCCTGTGTCTCTATCTCTCCCTTTCTCTCTCTCTCTCTCTCTCTCTCTCTCTCTGTCTCATGAATAAATAAATAAAATCTTAAAAAAAAATAACAGAATTGGCAAGACTGCTAGAGAAACAAATTTTGTTGAGAACTTTAGGAATTGAATTTGGGAGATGCATACAGACCTCCAGGAAGAGATGTTGGATAGTCAGGTGGATATACAAGTTTAGAGTTAGGAGAGGTATCCTGACTAGAGATAGAAATTTAGGAATTAACAGCATATAAGTAGGATTTAAAGCCAAGAGATCAGAAGACAATACCTTATGAATATAAGGTGAATATTTATGAATATTCATTCATAAAAATGAATATAAATAAAAAATGTGACTATTGGAGCACTCTCAAATTTTAGCCTAGAGGATGAGGTGAAGTAACCAAGAAAATAGGAGGAAAACCAGATTAGTGCTGTGTCCCAGAACCAAGTTAAGAAAGGGTTTCTATCTAGTAGGAAAAAATCATAATTTGTGTCAGATACAATAGGTGTTCAAGTAAATTAAGAACTGTTAATTAACTATTTGTTTCACCCATGTATAGAGTAGCGATGACCTGATAAACTGTTTTGATGGAATGATGGGCTTTGAAGTCTGAAATGGAGTCCAGAAAAAATGCATACAAGTTTGGAACACTGTAGGCAACTCCTTCAAGTAGTCCTGTATAAAAGGAAAGAGAAATAAAGCAATGGGGAAAGATGGGGCCAGATAATAGAAAGTTTGAATGCTAATAGGAATGAGCTATTGGCAAGAATAATTGATGATGTGAAAGACAGGAGAGAGAATTGTTAGAACATTCTCCCTAGCAGATGTCTTTGAGTGTGCAAGTGGACTTCACTTTGGAAGTATATATAATGTGATTGCTGGTTGGCATAAGGGTTCACTTGAAATGACACTAGTCAGCATGGCTTCGCTTTTTTGTCTACGCATTTTCAGCTTTTTGAGTACAGGGGAAGAGTTGTATGTAACCAGGTTGTAGTTAAGGGTGTAAATCATTGACAAAGGAATTTTAGCTGGGGTACAGAGGGGCGTGAAGAGATAAGAGCTGACGGACAGTGGAAATGTGGTAGAATCAAGAGATAATGATAGTTGGTTTAGAGAAGGGAGAAAGTCAAAGAGTTGTTGGGCTCTTGGGTATGACAGGGGTAAACTGAAAAATAGGAGTGGTAGTTGGAGAATGGGGTATTTGATGTGGAGGTTATAGAAGGATTGCAGTTATTGGTAATGAAAAGATCAAAGATTTCCCCCCAAAGAATGAAGGGCTTAGGGAGATTGAAAGAAAGGTCACTGGAGAAGAGAGCTT